TGTGTGTGTGTGTGTGTTTGAGAAACTTAAAAAACAAAAACAAAAGCTTGGTGGCCCAGTGGCTAAGTGTTTGACTGCTAACTGAAATGTTGGTAGTTTAAACCCACCCAGGGACTCCGTGGGAGAACCTGGTGATCCGCTCTTATAAAGATTATAGCCTAAAAACTCAATGGGGCATTTCAACTTTGTCACATGGGTCATTATAAGTCAAAATTGACTTGACAACACCTACCAACAAGAAGAAGATGTTTTTGCTTTTGTTTTTAAATGAATTTATCATTTAAAATTTTTTTCATTTCTTAACAAAGGTTTTCCAAAACATAATCCTTAATCACCTGGTCTTTTTCTTTGTCTTTGTGTTTGAGCACTTTACAGTATAATGTATCTTTGCTTTGAGTACAAATGAGCTCCAATATAGTTTACAAGTTGGTGGAAGATAAGTTTTGTTAAAAGCTAAGTTGTTAACTTTAGCTTTAATCAGTGGGTTCTTTTTCCATATTGCCCTACCTTGTGAGGAAAATAAAGCCTTTCTAATTAAATAAAAACTTAGGGAACATGAACCATTATGGCAGTCTCTGGGAGGAATGACCAGCTAGGACGAGATAGATACACCAGCGGGCCACAAACGACAAGATAGACGTAAGGAAAGAAACACATACCGGTTCTGCTTACAGTACTGAGGGAAATGCTAGACACAGAGGAGCAGAAGCTGTATAAACATGGACCACAACAGAGCTGCCAGGGAAAAAACAGAGAAAAACACTTTTGCACAAAGTTTCTAGATCAGATGCAAGTTACAGCAGGAGACAAGCATTCCATCGCCATCTTTATTAGCATTCATATCCATTTTGTGTCACTGCCAGCTTTGTGATGCCCGCCCCCCCATGGTAGCAAGGGAACAGCTTCACAACTCATTAAAAAGCCAAAGCATTAGTACCTCCACTAGGAATCCTAACTGGGAATTATAATTCTCTCAGATATAAGCCAATAAAACTTTTAGTTTTGTAGCTACTATGGAGAGAAAAGGCCAGTCCCTTGAGAAGGACATCATGCTTGGTAAAATAGAGGGCCTACAAAAAAGAGGAAGCCCCTCAACAAGAGAGAGTGACACATCTTGTTGGGGGTCACTGTCTAACAATGAGTTCAAATGTACTAACGTCTGTGAGAATGGTGCGGGACGGGGCAGTGTTTTATACTGTTGTATATAAGGTCACTATGAATCAAACCGACTTGGTGGCACCTAACAACAACAAAGAGACAGAATAAAGGGCCAGTGAAAAAGAGGAAGACCCTAAACAACATGGATTGGCACAGTGGCTGCAACAATGAGCTTTAATTGTGAAAACGGGTAGGGTTTCATTTTATTGTACATGCTGTTGTTGTTGTTGAGTGCCATTGAGTTGGTTCCAACCCATAGCGACCCTACATAGGGTTTCCAAGGAGTGGCTGGTTAGTTTGAACCGCTGACCTTGAGGACGAGTGCTTAACCCACAGCACTACAGGTCACTATAAATCAGAAGTGACTCTACGGAACGTGAGGACAAGAGCATGGAACTAGAATAGAGGGTCAGTGAAAACGAGGAAGACCCTAAATGAGATGGACGGACACTCTGACTACACCGGTGGGCTCAATCAACAGGACAGCTATTGTGAGGCTGGCACAGACTGGGGGTTGTTCTGCCATACACAGGGTTGTCATGAGTCAGAAGTGACTCGGTGGCACCTAACAACAACAACAACAACAACAACAACAAAGCATCTTAAAAATGAGTGTTGGAGGATGAGGAGAAAAAAGGATGGAACATAAACATAATTGGGAAAATGCAATTAGAATGAAGGATTTGGAGGACATATTTTGTGGTTCGTGAAAGAGAAAGGAACTTCAAAAAGCTCATGGAAAAACGGAATGAAAAGGTAATAGAGTTTCTAAAAGAACTTTCTGAAGGCCCCACAGTGTTAAAAGTGCTAGCCACTTAGGGAAAGGAAGGAGAACTATTATTTACTGCATGATTATAATGCATGGGCATAGTTAGGAGGTTACTTTGAATTCTTCTCTTTAATTATTCAGTTCAGATCAGACCTAAGTTCTGGAAGGGACCACGGTACACTGTGTGAGTTGATGGAGACTGAAAACAGGTCAAAAGAGGAACATGACCGGAAGGGTAAGGCTCCCTGTGAAAAGAAGTCCCTTCAACACCAAAGCAGAAAGATAGGGAAGGTTTGGGAGGTCCTCAAACACTGATGATTGGAGTGGTAGCAAGCCCAAATGAGAAGGCCACGCAATGTTCCTTGGTGTCTAAGAGGACCCAGTGGTGGAAAAACAGCTCCTACGGTTTGCATACACACCTCTTAGAACTGCAGCAAGCATTTGAGTTCTATCCTCTATTTGTACAGCCCGACCCCTGCACCCACATCTGATTTCTGTTTTGAGGTAAAGAGTGTGTGTATGGGGGAGAAAACAATTCTATAAGTGGTGTTTATTTAAGGTGTAGGGATTTTAGGAGGAGCAAGGAAAGACTCTTTCTGGTCCTCCTCACACGATAGTGGACATTCCATTCACTGACTGCTCTGGCCACACCAGGGAGAGCCTCACCTGCTCATTCATGACTGCAGAGAGTTCACTGAGCATGTCCTTATAGTGGGACCTCAATTCTTCCTGATACTCCAACTGGTCCTCCTTGATTAGACGCTCATTCACATCCAGGGCCTGCCCACACGCATCTGCAAATTGTCTTTTGTGACAGCAAGAAGCAAATTAAAAACCAGCCACAGAATGTCTGGGTTGCCAACATATGTAGCTTCCAAGACGAGGGCTAGTTGGGCGGTTTGTTAAGGAAATCATGACTCCCTGTGGGAAGGAGCTCAAGGAAGAATATTCCAACATCACCAACAATAAACACTTACCTGAAGATTTCCTTCAAAAGCTTTACTTGGTTGTCAGGATATTTCTTCGCATTGGTTTCTTCAAGAAAAGCTCGTGCATAGGCCATTGGTCCAGCGTTAATCTATTGGGGAGAAGAGCATTGGCTGAGAATGGATCCATGTCCTCCATGGAACCTTCTCTGGCCACCGTAGCTGGAAGGAGTAGTAACTGTTTGCATCAGTCACGTGACATCCACTTCTCTCACAATGCCTTGTAGGCTACTGTGTTGTGTGCCTATCTCCCAACTAGGCACTAAGCTACTGGTCCCATTGCCAGGGTGTCAATTCCAACAATTAGCATGCTTGATAAAGTGGCGGGTCAATGAAGAAGAGGAAGAAACTCAATGAGATGGATTGACACAGTGGCAGCAGCAATGGGCTCAAGTGTAACAACCAGTTGGATGACGTCACAGGACTGGGCAGTGTTTCAGTCTGTTGTGCATAGGGGGGCTACGAGTCAGAACTGACTCCACAGTACTTAAAATAACAGATTCCCATGACCACAGGGATTTCCAGTGCTGGAAAATCAGGTGATGGTCTAGATTGGTTTCTTGGATCCACCAGATAGATCACTTTCCGCATCTCCTCTGTTAAGCTCTGTACTTGGGGGATCTGTCCTTGATGGACTACAATCACGACACCCTGGCCATGGGTTTTCTTGGGATTAATCAATGGGGATGCAGACAAGAGATGGATGGGGGAAGAGAAAATGAAGGTCAGTAGCAGGATTTTCCTATTGTTCCAGGCACCAGGACAGTTTGGTAGGCCACTGTGTCTGATCGTATGGTTATAGAAAAGATTACTGTTTTGTTCATCATAGATTTTTGTGTTAATTTTGAAAAAATAATACATCCAACAATCACTATTTTTGAGTTTGGTGAACTTCACCCTAGTCCAGGCCCTAGTCTGGGTAGTCAGCCTCAGAACGTCCCCCTTACCACCATCCAACAAAGGCCACACTTAGTGCCAACCTGCCATCAGGTAGCTCAGTGGCCTCCCCTCTCTGGCTTCCAGTGACCCTCACCTCTCCTTGGAGTTTCTGGTCTAAGAAAAGCATCAGATCCGCAGCAGACCCTCACCACTTGACAGCCCTGGTTGCTTTTTCCTAAACGTGAATCACGCTCTTACAGAGCGCTTGCTCATCATAGTCTTAGCCACCTTCTGGCAGCTGACATCTGGTTCCAGCTGACATCTGGTTCCTGTCAGGATCCTGACAGAAAAAACCTGATATATATATGAGCTAGAAAACATTTTTAGCCTTTGGAACAGAGCTGTTTTATAAGGCTCTTCATGCAGATATGTACAAGAGTGACATGTTTACTCATTCATTCATTTTTACTCACTAGAATACGAGACAGACTTTATCCACAGAAGATGAGGTTGGAAGACCAAAGAAAAAGAAATTCTATTTTAGGTCTTGAGTGTTACACACAGTTTGTGATCAGCTCTTAACTGACAGGTTGGTGGTGTGAATCTACCGAGAGGCTCTGTGGAGAAAGGGTCTGGTGATGTTTCCGTAAGAGAGAACAGCTAAGAAAGCTCTTAAGCTCTTTGAAGCAGCTGTAGTCTGTAACGCAGGGGATTGCCAGGAGTCAGGGGCTGACTCTGTGATGGCTAACAGCAATAGTAAACTTAAGCAAGGCATATGTAGACAGGTATTAAGTATTATCAAGATGAATTCACAACTAACCAGATTTTAAAGACCCAAATCAAGTATAAATAGGATCACAAACAGGAAAAAAAAATGTTTCTTATATACTTGGGAAAAAAAATAAAATTCAAGGGTGTTTTCTATCAGGCCCCACACACCCGCTGCCAGGAGTCAGTTCTGACTCATACTGGCCCTTCAGGACCATGTAGAACTTCTCCTTATGGTTGCTAAGAGAGTAAATCTTGAAGGAGAAGTTCTAGTGTGTCTTACAGGTTTGTTATGAGTCAGGAGGAACCAGTCCCTGGAGAAGGCCATCACACTAGGTAATGCGGAAGGTCAGGGAAATAGAGGAAGACCCCCAAAGGGATAGATTGGCACAGTGGCAGCAGCTTTGGGCTCAAACTTAACAATGATTGTGAGAATGGCGAATGGCACAGGACCATGCAGTGTTTTGTTCTGATGTACATAAAATCACTGAGTCAGAATCGACTCGATGGCACCTCACAACAACAAAACGAGTCAGAATTGACTCAATGGCACTGGCTTAAGTGAAGCATGAAAGGAAATACCCTTGGATTTTTTTTTTTCTTCCAAGGAGCAGCTGGTGGGTTTGAACTGCCGACTTGACAGTCAATAGCCCCACACTGCATCACCAGGGCTCCTAACTCTCTCATGGCCATGTGTATCGATCTTAGCTGTGGTCAGTGCTCACCTTCACGCTGACGCTCCCCTGGAGTTTGAGCTGCAGTCTGATCATGTCCACTTCGTCCATGGTGCAGAGCTGATTGAGCTCAGAGACCTTCTTGGACATCTCATCAATGGCCACTTCAATAGGATTCAGTTCTGTGCTTGAATGGCTTATGACTTGTATCCTCTTCTTCACATAGGGAAACAAGTGACTCGCTGTACAAAAGAACACAAGGGCATTGAAAGGTTGAGGGTGAGTGAAGAGTCCAGGGTTCCCCAACTGAAGATCTTGTGTCTTTTCATGGCACGAAGCCCATACCACCCTTCATGCAATCTGTGTTTGTGAATGACTTAGGTTTTCTCACATCTCTTAGCTTTTGTCCCAGCTAAAGGAGCTCTGGTAGCATAATGGTTACGAATTGGGCTGTGGACCGCAAGATCAGCAGTTCGAAACTACTAACTGTTCCACAGGAGAAAAATGAGGTTTCCTTCTCCTGTAAAGATTTACAGCCTCGGAAACCCTGTACAGGGTCGCTATGAGTGGGTTCCAACTCCATGGCATATAACCACCACTACTTTGGTCAGAAGGAGCTCTGGTAGCATAGTGGTTAAGAATTGGGCTGTGGGCTGCAAGGTCAGCAGTTCGAAACTACCAGCTGTTCCACGGGAGAAAGATGAAGCTTTCTGCTCCCGTAAAGATTTACAGCCTCGGAAACCCTGTACAGGGTCACTATGAGTCGGAACTGACTCCACAGCACATAATATAACTTTGGTCAGACAAGATTTTTCTCCAAACTTGTCTCCTAGACAAGCTAGCTGACATCAGCTCATCCTCAGGGCTGGGCTAAGACGGCTAGAGTTAAAGTGTTCATGTCAACATGCAATCCAAACATCCACAACAAGGCCTGCTTGAATACATGTATACTGAGTAGGTTTAAAGGTCACTGTTTGAACCAACCAACTGTTCTACAGGATAAACATGTGACAGTCTAGTTCACATCAGTATCACAGTGTTGGAAACCCTATTGGACAGTTCTACGCTGCCCTATAGGGTTGCTATGAGCTGGAATCAACTCTATGGCAAAATGTTTGATTATGGTTCCGACTTATAACAATTCTGCATAGGGTTTCCAAAGTGCACCTGATTAGTTTGAACCGCAGATCTTGTGTTTGAAACCAACCTTGCTGTCCAATGCTTTATCCCACAGTGCTACATTAGGATACAATAGTTTGTTCAAAATGACTTTTCTTTTTATAATATTCTGGAAAATTTTCCTGAAACTGGATGTTTCTCATAGTGTGGATGTCATGACTCTCCAATGTCTATGGTATGTGTAATTCAATACTGCTTATCGTTCAAGACGGCTTACATTGAATTGTCTCGAAATCTCTTGGTTCATCTCCATCACCATCATTCTGCCCAAGAAGTCCCTCCTGTGTGTCCCCATTTCACCCTCCTGCTCTGCTGATATTTTACCACATTTTTCTCCTACCAAACTGTGAACAAATTGAGGGCAAGAATTGTTTTACTTATCTGAAATTCTACCATCTGAAACATTACCCAACACATAATAGGTACTCATTGAATGAAGATGAACTCAACGAGGATGACTAGTTCAGAAAGACTATTTTATTAGGACTGAGAGGGATATTGGAGATCACCGTCTGCATTCATTTTACAGATGAGGAACCCAAGTCCCAGAGTGGTTTAGACTCCTGCTTCCAAACACACAAGGATGAGAGCTACTAACTCCGAGAGCAGATCCAGGGAAAAAGGGAGAGGAAAGGAACACTCCATGTCTCTGATGATGAGAAGATTTCTAGGGGGAGGTGGGTAATGTAACTCTATTGAGAACTTCCCCTCAGGTTGTCACTCTGAATACAGAACAAAACCCAGTTGCCAACAAGTTGGTTCTGACTCATGGTGACCCCAGGCATGTCAGAAATGGCCACGACCTTTTGGGAGTTATTTGCCAGGACTTTCTTTTGAGCCTCCTTTGGGTGGACTCACAGAGTCTGAGTGACACAATGGGTTAAGCATTGGGCTGTTGTTGTTTTTTTTTAGGTGCCATAGAGTAGGTGCTGACTCATAGTGACTCCTAACCTAAAAATCAGTGGCTGGAACCCACCATGGTAGAACGATAAGGCAGTTGACTTCCATAAAGACTTATAGTCTTGGATACCAAGGGAGCGTCTACTCTGTCCAATGGGGTCATTATGAGTTGCAATTGACTCAAGGGGCAGTGGATGGGTCATGTGGACTCAAACCTCCAATGTTTCAGTTAGTCACTGAGAGTGTTAATCATCTGCACCTTCCGGGAATAACCCGCATAGATTTAACAGGGGAGGAAACAGCTCCTTCAGGCAAACATTGGCAAGTTAGCACTCTGGGGGTATGCTTTGTATGCCACCAATCCAGGGGCTGCTTAGAAGCAAGTGCTCCTGCCTGCCAGCTGCACCTACTTGTGAGGATGGTCCTCCGCTTACACTGCTCCTCCACTCCGCCATGCTTCTTGCCCGACAAGGTAAAGGGCGTCTCAAAGACAAAGCGGTTGATGTTGTGATGCGTTTCAAAATCTGTCTTCCGGTCCTCTATTTCCTTTTCCTCAAAGAATGGTGTGACGTAGGTTACTTGGATGTAGGCATACTTTGGATCCAAATCCTTGGGGTTGACCTGTTTAACACATTGAGGGGAACAAAAGAGTGGTGAGCTGTTTGGAGCTCCTGAACTATAGGCAGGGAGTTCTGCATTTCCTTGGGTTGCATTCCAAGGAGGTTGTGCTTGGTTGCTTGGAGGAGAATGAGTAACCATGGAATTCCAGAGCTGGATGGGATCTCAGAGAGAGCAGCTGGCTGCCCTGTGTTCTGGTAAATTGAACAAACATAGGAGAGGAGCCCACTCACCAGACACTGAAGCTCTGAAGTGTAGGCACCCATGTTAGCCTATTGTTGACTCTTTGTTTTTTCTTCAGTAATGACTGTCCAGTCACCATGTTCTTGAGAGTAGAGATATGACTATCTCTTTGTCCTTTTATGATTTAGCTATGTCACTAGACTGCGGCTATAGGCTCTGGACTAGTAATGAGGAGTTGTTGTTGTTAAGTGCCGTCGAGTCGGTTCCGACCCATAGCAACCCTGAACAGGGTTTCCGAGGCTGTAAATCTTTATGGGAGCAGAAAGCCTCATCCTTCTCCTGTGGAACAGCTGGTAGGTTCGAACTGCTGACCTTGTGGTTCGCAGCCCGATTCGTAACCACTACAAGAGGGAGGTACTTGCATTATTTGGTTTGCCCATTATATAGTTGCACATATTTCTGTTTTTAATTTCTCAAATTTATTTCCTCATTTTCAAGAAGAAATCATACTATATAATGAGTCTACACAATAACTATCTAACTCTTTTATTGTTCTTGCTGTGGTGGGTGCCACAGGGTTGGTTCCAACTCAGAGCACCACTGTACAGCAGAAGAAAACCCTGCCTGGTCCTGCACCAACCTCACCATCACTGCCATCTTTGAGTCCATTGTTGAAGTCTTTATATCAACCCATCTTATTGAGGGTCTTCCTCCTTTTCGATGACCCTCTATTTTACCAAGCACAATGACCTTTTTCAGGGACCAGTCCTTCCTGATAACATGCACAGAGTGCATGTGATGATCAGTTTCACTATCCTGAATTCTAAGAAGCATTCTACCTTACTTCTTACAAGACAGATTTGTTCATTCTCTAGGCAGTCTATGGTATATTTAACAATCTTCACTAATGCAATATATCAAAAGCATTAATTTATCTTTGACTTTCTTTACTCATTACCCAACTTTTACACGCATATGAGTTGACTGAAAATACCGTGGCTTGAGTTAGGCACACTTGAGTCCCTTAAGTGACATCTTTGTTTTTGAACATGTAAGAAATAACTAAGATGAGTTGGGGATACCAAGAAAAAACAGGGTATTTTCTTCAAAGTTGCAAGAAGATTTTTAATCTCCTTTTTTCATGGTACCTTGAAGAATTTTCAAATTTCTCTTATCTTTCTCCACCCATATACCTATCTACTGCCCACTGAATTCTAGAGGTTTGAAATAGCTCATGACCTTGTTTATGATACTAATAGGTCACTGTAGGCTAGAATGCATACAAATCAACTTGACTACATCTGTGGAAAGAGATGGTGGAAAAGCTCCATCTCATCAGCCAAAACAAGACCAGGTGCAGACTGTGTAACAGACCATCAATTACTCATATACAAGTTCACATTGAAGCTAAGGAAATTAAAACAACTCAATAAGAGTCGAAATATAAACTTAAACAAATTCCACTGAATTTAGAGATCATCTAAGAACAGATTTGATGAATTAGGCACTAATGACTTAAGACCAGAAGTGTTGTGGGACAACATTAAGAACATCATACAGGAAGATAGCAAAAATGACTAAGAAGATACAAAAGAAGGAAAAGACCAAAGTGGACGTCAGAAGAGACTCTGAAACTCACTCTCCAGCAGAGAGATGCTAAAGCAAAAGGAAAAAATGAGGATATAAAAGAGCTGAATAGAAAATTTCATAGGGCAGTTCAAGTAGGTAATGTACAATACTATAATGAAATGTACAAAGACCTGGATTTCGAAAATCAAAAAGGAAAGAATATGTTCAGCTTTTCTCAAGGTGAGGGAACAGAAGAAAAAATTCAAGTCATGACTTGCAATATTGAAGGTTTCTATGGGCAAAATATTGAATAATGCACAAAGCATCAAAAGAAGATGGATGGAAAAAAAATTATTTGCTGGTTACCGGGGTACACAGGGTAGGGTGGGAGAAGGGAGGGGAAGGTGGAGCACAGGGTAGGGAATCTACATAGGAGATTTTGGGTGCTGGAGGGGAGATACACAAGAAGGGGGAAGGGAATGGAAGAACAAGGTGGATGGGAGAACAGTTGGGCAGGTTTGCATGGGTTAAGTGGGACAGAGGTAAATAATGATGTATGCTCAACGTTGGAACAACAGGGCTCTGAGATACAGGGATTGAGGCATGGTTTGAATGGGTAAAAGAGGGGAAATAATGTTAAGATGCTTGGCTATCTTTTGAATCTTGGTTTCCCTTACCTACTATTGTAAACTAGACACTTGAAGGGGAGAGAAAGGAATAGCCAGAAACATCAAGATAGAAAGCTTGAAAGTCTGTCTTCAGCCAATAATTGATTGGAATACCTAAAATGGGGCTACAACTTTCCCAGATAAGGAGGCTTCCTGAGGAGTCTTTGCATTGCATAAGAGGATAGGTGGAATCTTGATCCCCATCCAGAATCTCCTGAGGTGGGAAATTTGCACTTGAAAGGACAAGCAGACCAGCCTGGAGCAGCTAGAACAGAAGATACTTCTTGAAAGAAAGACCAGCAGGAAAAAAACAAAATAACCGGCAGTCTGATTGACTACTACAAGAACAAGTAAGTTGTTCACCCAGAAGCCATCAAGGCAAGTGGTCAGGTCCCCTCACGGCAAACCCCCTTCCAAGACTGAGATTTAAGGGGAATACACAAGCAGGCATATGGTCTTGCTGGTGACCACATTGGCCTACCGATAAAGGGAAGTGGGGGGGAAATAGCAATGAAATTGTGAGCTAAGTCCTACCACGTTCAATAGACTCCTGTCAACCTGGGTTGAAACCTGGTTGGCTAGCAGTGTGGCAGGACCTAGGGACTCCTGGGCCCAGGGACAGGGACATGGCCACAGAGGATTTGAATGGAGAGTGAAGTGTCCAGCTGATATGAAGTGAGGGGAGATGCACAAGAACACCCATACTTGCAGATAGTACCCACTTGACCTGGCTTCAATGGCTGGATGATCAGAACTTGACAAGAGGAAGAAAGAAAAGGAAAAAAAGAGTAATCTGCTAAAATTTGATGAACCTGACCTATACTTACTTATGGATGTAGTAGCTCAAAAGAAGGAACGAATCTGTACAGCAAGAATCATTGCCACCCCCTCGGTACACAGGGTTGACAGGGATGGGCAACCTAGACATTGGCTACCCAAATTGAGGGGGGAGGGGCTAAAAAAGCAAGACGTGACTGGCGAATAAGCTTTCAAGAGGGAGCCTACTTTTAGAGAGTGTGGGGTAAGGCATAATCTCCACTGAGTGGTTTCCAACCTGTCTGGATGGGACTGATGAAAGGAGATGGGGTTGAGACTCTTGTGGTACAATAGTGAATAATTGCTATCAGGACTGACTGTGAGTGTTGCAAATGTAAAGGTAGACGTTTTGTAGCAAAAGGAAGTGAGTGGTTAATTTTGCAGTCTAGGAGCAGAGGACCCTGAGACCATCAAGGGAGAAGAGTGGATTGTACGACCCTATCCAGAGAAACAGTGATGCCAGAGATGGAGGCAGAGACAATGATGTAGAGAGATGGAGCGGCTGGAGACTCTAGACTCAGGGAGGGAGAGGGGCTGTGTGCTGATGGCTGGGAGTGATGATGCCTGGAGGGGATTGTAAACATTGCAATGAAATGCATAGGATAGGATGAATGTAAAACTTATATTCTCCCATGTAAACTATCACTCAGTGCACAATAAAACTTAAAAAAAGAAAAAAAAATATAGTATACAAAGATTTAAAAAAAAAAAAAGATTACAGCCACGAGAACGCTATGGGGCAGTTCTACTCTGTCACATGGAGTAGCTACTAGTCAGAACCAACTGGACAGCACTTACTAACAACAGCTGCTGCTTCTGTGTGCTGCTGAGTCAGTTCCTATTCATAGTGACCCTTTATAGGCTGTAAATCTTTCCAGGAATAGAAAAGATTTCTCCCAACAGCAACTAGATACCAAGTTACATGGGGGCTAAGATCATGTCACATGGTCCATCCAACTTTTTAAATCTCCCAACAGTTGTTGTTGTTGAGTGTCGTCGGGTCGGTTCCAACCCATGGCAACCCTGTATAGGGTTTCCGAGTGGTGGGTGAACTTGAATCACCGACCTTGCAGTTCAAACGACTCTGCAGTCCAGTGCATAACCCCACAGCACCACACCAGGGCTCAGCACAGTAGGAGGAGCTTATTGGGTAATTGTTAAATATACATTACCTCAATAAAGACCATAGTGCTTATTACAGCTTAAAAAATGAAGAAATAAAAAAATGTATTAATGAAGAATGCTGAGGGATAATGCACTGGACCACAAGGTTGGTGGTTCAAGCTCACCAACACTATGCAAGGTTGTTATGAGTCGGAATCCACTTGATGACACTTAACAACAACAACAAAGCACTTTAAAGAAAATAAGCTTAAGGTTAAAATCTGTACTCTTGGTGAGAACAATTTTCCAGCCACAGGAATTTATGGCTTAAAATTATTTTGTGATAAGGAGAAATGAACGAAAAATGGCCTATAAGCTTTAAGGACCTTACGTAATGGAATATACATTTTGTAAGTCAAACAAACAAAAGCAGATGGAAGGAATACACAAAAATCACTGTACCAAAAATAAATGGTCAATGTTCAATCATTTCAAGAGATAGCATATTATCATCAAGCACCAATGATACTGAAGGAAAATAAGTCCAAGGTGCACTGAAGGCATTGGAAAAGAACGATGCTCTGGGAATTGATGGAATACAAATTGAGATCTTTCAACAAACTGATGTGGCATTGGAGGCAGGGGCTCCTTCATCTATACCAAGAAATTTGGTAGACAGCTACCTGATCACGTGATTGAAAGAGATCCTTATTTGTGCCCATTCCAAAGAGAGGTGATCCAATGGAATGTGGAAATCATTGGACAATATCATTAATATCACATGCAAGTAAAATTTTGCTAAAGATAACTGGAAAACGGTTGCAGCATTCCATTGACAGGGAATTGCCAGATTCAGACTTGGACATGGAATGAGGGATATTATTGCTGATATCAGATGGATCTTGACCGAAAGCAAAGAACAACTTGAAGATGTTTACCTGTGCTGATTGACTATGCAAAGGCTTTCAATTGTGTGGATCATGACAAGCTACGGACAACATTGCGGAGAATGAGTATTCTGAAATTGTGCTCATGAGAAACCTGTACACAGACCATGAGGCAGTAGTTCAAACAGAATAAGGGAACACCAAATGGCATAAACCGAGGAAAGGAGTTTGCCAGATTAAATCCTTTCACCATACTTATTCAATCTGTATGCTGAGAAAAGAATTTGAAAAACTGGATTATATGAGAAGAACATGACATCAAGATTGGAGGAAGACTCATTAACAACCTGCGATATGCAGAGGATACAACCTTGCTTGTTAAAGCAAAGAGGACTTGAAATACTTTCTGATGGCAATCAAAGACCACAGCCTTCGGAATAGGTTGCACCTCGATGTAAAGAAAACAAAAATCCTCATCATGGGCCAATAAATAACATCAAGATAAATGGAGGAAAAATTGAAGTTGTCAAAGCTTTCATTTTACCTTAATTAACTATCCACACTCATGGAAACAGCCTTCAGGAATCAAACGAAGTATTGCATTAGCAAATTTGCTGCCCAAGACTTCTTGAAAGTGTTCCAGAGCAAAGATGTCAGTTTGAGGACTAAGGTGCACCTGACTCAAATTACAGTATTTTCAATAACCTCATATATATGCGAAAGTTGGATAGTGAATAAGGAAGATTGTAGAAAAATTGATGTATTTGAGCTATTGAGTTGGAGGAGAATAGTGAAAGTACCATAGACTACCAAAATAACAAAACAATCTGTGTTGGGATTTGTACAGCTAAAATGTTCCATAGACGTCCTTATTATGTAACTTGTGTCTTACATTTAGAATATATTATCAGGAGGGACTAGTCTCTGGAGAAGGACATCATGCTTGGTATAGTGGAGGGTCAACAAAAAAGAGGAAGACCTCCCAATGAGATGGATTGGTAAAGTGGCAGCTGTAATTGGATCAAACGCAGCAACTATTGTGAGGTTGGCTCAGGACTGGGCAGTGTTTCCTTCTGTTGTGTATAAGGTTGCTATGAGTCAGTACTGACTCCACAGCATTTTACAACAACAAAGCAACAATGTATCCAATCAAAAGGCAAAAAGAAAGCCTTAAAACAATCCTTCTCAAACCATCCAATCCCAAGTAGTTTAGGAGTTTACTTTGCAGTTCCCCACACATCTGCCAGTTTGTTGTACTATAGTGGCTTGTGTATTGTTGTGATGCTGAAAGCTATACCACAGGTGTTTGAAGTATCAACAGGGTCATTCAAGGTGGACAGGTTTCAGCAGAGCTTCTAGATGAAGATGAGATGAGAAAGAAGGAGGACTCCTTATGTGGCTCTGTGTGTTAGCGCACAGGACTGCAAAGTCGGTTTGAACCACAAGGTCAGCGGTTCAAGCTCACCAGCCACTCCTCATAATTCCTATGGGTCGGAACTGACTTAACGGTACTTAACAACAAGGAAGACGTAATAGGCAGTCAATTTCTAAGGGATCAACCATTGAAAACCTTACAGATTGGTTATGCTGTGCAAGGATAAGCTATTCATGTTGGAAGGCACTCAAAATACAACTGATGGAGTGCGAACAGTAGCTCCAACAAAGGGCTCGCATGTAACGATTGTGAGGATGGTGCAGCATGGGGCAGTGTTGGGCAAAGGGTTGTGCATAGGGACGCTATGGGATGGAGCCAACTTGGAGGCATCTAACAACAAACAATAACTTTTAAGTTAGACCTCAAAATCAAAATGCTATAAAATACAGGTTAAACATACATTTTTTAAAGTAAGTGAATTCACTTGTATGGATACTGATTTGTCACCTACCTTGTTAGAATCCTGGATGATCTTCACATTGTCAGCTCCGAATTTGTCTGCATAGAGTTTAAGCAACCTTTGGGAAATCTCAGACAGACCAGTGAGCTTCGGCTCTTTATAAATATACTCCTTGCCTTCTTCTTCTTCAAAAAATCCCTGTGGGAGACAGATAACAGTCCACCCATTTCACCTGAGAACTCCCATATTTCAAGTCAAACAAACCATTCACTTAAAAAACAAACAAAACAAAAACAAGCTATAGAATCTTTGGGTTTAACATCCAGGTCATTGTTTAGAACGACTGTAAAAACAGAAATCCAGAGAATGAGGATAATGAAGCATGTTCCAATCAGACATTAGTGTAAACCTTCCCTTACCATATAAAACAAAGCAAAAACCTCACTGTTACTGAGTTGATACTGACTCACTATGAATCTGCCTATAAATCTTTACAGGAGCAGAAAGCCTCATCTTTCTCCTGCAGATCTGAACTGCCGAACTTGTAGTTAGAAATCCAGTGCTTATCCTCCAGTGTTACCATGGCTCCTTAAACCTTCCTTTGCCAGGCAAAAACAATCTCATTAAATACCTTTACACATATTTTTTTCTATTAGTGGAACTGAACGGCATGTAATAGCTGCTAGCACATATGGTATTTGGAGGAAGAGTTCCCTCCTGTGGTAGTTTGGGATAGAACACAATCTCCTGAAATACTTTATACGCATTTGTGGTATGAATGGCAGTATCAGCTTGCTTAGACAGAATTTTTGGAGAGAGTGCCCTCATGTGGTTATCTGGAATAGAACACAAAGTTGGAAGTAATTTTTGGAATTATTCAAAGCAATATCATTTTTAATAAGGAAATTTATAAAGCGCTGAAACTAGCATAGGAAATACTGTAAGGTAGCCCACATCATTTTAGAAGAAAATCACAGTGCTTTAATCATTGCCTAACAGAAAACAAAAACGATGGGGCGGGGGAAGGGTGTAGGGCTTCAAAAATTCATAGAAAAATGAAATGAAAAAAGACTTGAATTTCTCCATGAACTTTTTGAAGGTGCTCCACCCCTCGTGCATTGTGCTTCTAAATCTTGCTATCTTTACAATGACCTTACATTACTATGTCCTCAGGGCCCTGATGAATATGTAATTACCCTGATGAATATGTAATTACCCTGGGAATATGTAATTGCTTTGTTCCATTTTACTTTACTAACAGTTCCTTTTACATTCTTACAAAGCTTGACTCAAAGAACTGAAAATAGTAACCATGTCATTATATTGATTCCATGGAACAAGCTGTTTTCTCTCCATGAATTTACTGGGTAGGTTTGAAGCAGGAAGAAGAGAAGTTGCCATTATTATCTGATGGTAATTAAGTGAGGCAAAGCTTAAAGTTCCTTCTCTGAAGAGAGTGTGAGGATTTCTCCTAGCAGCTGAGTTGATCTTCAGAGAAAACAGTTCTTGAGGTCTGGGTGAAGCTACTGAAGGTCAAGAAGAAATGGCATTGTAGACACTTGTTCAGTGCTTTCTACTTGATTCTGACTCATAGCTTTTCCAAGGGGCATCTGGTGAGTTTGAACCACCAATCTGTCGTTAGCAGTCCAGTGCAAGACTCCATATGCATGTGTGTATATAATTTAAACACTTTTGAGTGTTTAAAGATCTTCATTGAAAACATTAATAAAATGTTCCAGTGCCGTATCTGATATGGGGCAATTTATCTATGAGTAATGACTCTGTGGTGCTTTATAAAATGTAGAGAAATTTAGCCCACGTACATTTAATCTTCATTAAAGGAGCTCTGGTAGCGTAGTGGTTATGAATCGGGCTGTGAACCGCAAGGTCAGCAGTTCGAAACTACCAGCTGCTCCGCGGGAGAAAGATGAGGCTTTCTGCTCCCGTAAAGATTTACAGCCTCAGAAACCCTGTTCAGGGTCGCTATGGGTCGGGACTGACTCGACGGCACTTAACAACAACAACAGCAATAAGAAGGAGTCCTGGTGTGGCGCTGTGGGTTAATGCCTCAGACGGCAAAGCCGTTTGAACTGCAATGTTGGTGGTTCAAGCTCACCAGCTACTCTATCCAGGGTCACTATGGGTTGGAACCGACTCGATGGCACTTAACAACAAGGAGCTCAGGTAGTGTTGTTGTTGTTGTCAGGTGCCATAGAGTTGAAACCAACTCATAGCGACCCCATGCACAGCAGAACGAAACAATGTCCGATCCTGGGCCAACCTCACTACCGCTGCCACACTTGACGCCATCAATGATGCCACCTGGCCGATTCATCTCGTTGGGGGTCTTCCTCTTTTTCTCTGACCCTCCACCTTACCAAACACGATATCCTTCTCTAGTGACTGGTCCCTCCTGACAATATGTCCAAAGTATGAGAGACGAAGTTTGGCCATTCTGGCCTTCAAGGAACACTTTGGTTGCATTTCTTCCAACACAGATCTGTTGGTTCTTTTGGCAGCCCATGGCACTTTCAATATTCTCCTCCAACACCGTAACTCAAATGCATCAATTCTTCTAAGGTCTTCCTTATTCACTGTCCAACTTTTGCATGCATATGAGGTTACTGAAAATACCATGGCTTGGGTCAGGCGCACCTTAGTCCTCAAGCTGACATCTTTGCTCTTCAACATTTTAAAAAGGTCTTGTGCAGCAGATTTGCCTAATACAATACATCTTTTGATTTCTTGACTGCTGAGTGTTCATGGCTGATCCAAGAAGAATGAAGTCTTTGACAACATCAGTCTTTTCTCCATTGATAAGAATGTTGTTTATTCATCCAGTGGTGATTTTTGTTTTCTTTACATTGAGATGCAATCCATACCTTAGGCTGCGGTCCTCAATCCTCATCAGTAAGTATTTTAAGTCTTCTTCACTTTCAGCAAGCAAGGTTGTATTATCTGCATATCACAGGTTGTTCATGAGTCTTCCTTCAATCCTGACGCCACGTTTTTCTTCATAGAACCCAGCTCCTCGTATTATTTGTTCGCCATACAGGTTGATAAGTATGGTGAAAGATTACAACTTTGTCATACACCTTTCTTAATTTTAAAACATTCAGTGTTCCCATATTCTGTTTGAACAACTGCCTTTTGGCCCAGGTACAGATTCCTCATGAGCACAATTAAATGTTCTGGAATACTCATACTTCACAATGTTGTCCATAGCTTGTCATGATACACACACTTGAAAGTCTTTGCGTAGTTAATAAAGCACAGTTAAACATCTTTCTGATATTCTCTGCTTTCAGCCAAGATCTACCGGACATCAGCAATGATATCCCTCGTTCCATGGCCTCTTCTGAATCCAGGTTGAACCTCTGGAAGTTCTCTGTCAATGTATAATTGAAGCTGTTTCTGTATTACCTTTAGTAAAACTTACACAGCAGGCTAATATGACCAAATATAGCAGACTCATTTTTAAGTTGATAATTTTGTATGGCCAGTTAATGACGTCATACATTTTGGTAGAACATGTTCCCATTCCCTGATCAAGACTGTGGAAGCAGTGTGGTCTGACCCCATTCCTGCTTGGCTTCCTGTTGCTGATTTTTTAGTAACAGTCTCACAGAGTTTGGGCTGATTCAAGGTCAGAAGTTAGTTCCCAAAATTGACAGCATAACACATGTGAGAAATTAAACTTCTGAGGCCATCAGCGAGAGTCCCCATGGTTAAAGTAATATTTACATTTTCAATTTCCATGAAGAAAAAAAAAAAAAAAGCCTCAAGTTTCAGGAAAACATTTTTACTTGCCACAGTGTGAAAACTTATAGGTAGGGACATTTCCACTTTGAATTCTTCCCCTTACAAAACTGTTGACTTGAAAGTTAGCAGAAAACCCGTTTCTATGACCATTGCTATGACCCTTTGGTCTTGGTCATGACTGAGACATTTCTTTCTCCTCACTCCTTGTTCTGTGAGTTTGGCCAGTGGTACAGACCCAGAATAGACTGGTCAGTCTTGAGAACAGTGCCCAAGACAAACAGGTCCTTGATGAGTGTTAGCTGTGATGGTGGTGATGACAATAATAAAGATTCCGTGTCAGAACACCCTGAGTTTTCACGACTTCAAAAAGTACATTTTGTTGTTAGGGGCCATTGAATTGATGGTGACGTTATGAAGAATAGAACAATTATGAAGAATAGAACAACACACTGCCTGGTCCTGTGTCCCCCTCACAATCTTTTGTTAAGCTTGAGCCCATTGTTGCTACCACTGTGCTAATCCATCTCATGGGGGGTTCTTCCTCTTTGTCACTGACCCTCCAATCCACTTTACAATGCCTCCCTTCCCTCTCCCTGTTGTGGTCAAGAAGCCCTTGTGGGACAGAGGGATAAATATCAGGAAGGTCTGCAGTTGGAACCCGCCAGTTGCTCTCTAAGAGAATGACGAGGCAGTCTGCTTCTGGAAAGACTTACAGCCTCAGAAGCCCTATGGGGTCATTGGACTCCGTGGCATAGGCTGTCCATGCATCAGAATCGACTTGATAGCCGTGGGAGTTTTTGATGGTGGTCAGGAAGTAGCCCATTCTAGTTCGACAACCACATTGAATGAACAGATGTAACATGCACGATTATGTAATTTCAAGACATTAGCTTATGATACAAATGTACACCAACAACAACCCAAAGCACTGACTCTTTCTGAGATGTTTCTACAGATACTTCAGAATCTTGCAATGCATGGGGATGTGAAATGTAAATGGCCCTGCCTTTAAATAGTCTTCAAATTCATTAGTCAATGGATGCATTCAAAGAGGAATCCAGTGAAAAAAAAAAAAAGTCAGAAAATGGTTGTTGTTGTTGTTAGGTGCCATCGAGTCGGTACTGACTCATAGCCACCTTATGCACAGCAGAACGAGAAATGGTAGACAAGAAGGCAGAGAAAAATGGTGAGCAAAAATGTCAATTCAATGCTGATGATTCAAAACTCTGCAAAATAAAACAAACCAAAAATATTTTTAACAGTGACTGAGCAAGGTGAGGAGCTGAAGTATGGCTCACATTTCAAAATGGAGACTGATTGCCAAACAAAGCACTCTGCCCCTTTCCAGCTCTTCTTCCCCAGCCCCTCTCTGCCATTCCTTTCTATCAAGAGTCTGAGCTGCACTCACAGTTAAGAAGCTGTGACTGAGAATCATAGATCCATATTCTTTGATGAATGGGATGCCATTCTCTTATCTCTTTCATTTAATTAATTCTAGGACATCCCATCTTTGAAGCTCTACGGTAGGCATCCTCTTGCTTCTTTCAGGCTAAATACCAGGGCCTGAGGATTGCATTGATTAAGGTTGATGCTTGATCATGATTGTTGTTTCAATCCTTTGTAAGTGAGCACTTCAGGGACACTTCCGAGGATGCTTTATATAATCAGTTATGTGTGAAATTCCCGAGCAAGTGATGCCAGCTGCTCATTAGAAATTTCATGCCATACAAGACTTGCATTTTTTAATGTCCCTTCCATCAAAGAGTGTTTTTCAAGTTGTTTCCTAGTATCTGGTTCATCACAGACACAATTAGCTATCACAACCAATGGAGTCCTGGTGTGGCGCTGTGGGTTAATGTGTCAGACTGCAAAGTCGTTTGAACTGCAAGGTTGGTGGTTCAAGTTCACCAGCTCCTCCTTGGAAACCCTATACAGGGTCGCTGTGGGTTGGAATAGACTCGACAGCACTTAACAACAGCAACAACAAATCCTAACCAATACTATAAACCTTAAAACAAAAACAAAAAACACTAGTTACATGGGAATACTAAAATATTTATCCAATGGCAAGAAGAGTCTATTGTCAATTCTAACCCCATAATCTTTGTAACATGATCATAAGACATTGATTTGGATGTTAAGAGGTGCAGTCTACAGAGCTATCATGAAAGAGAAATGATTTCTATGTCTGGGGAGGATTATGGTAACCAAGTAGTCAAGACTTCATGTAAGATCGCAGGGACCTTCCTTCTGTGCACATTCTGCACAATGTTCAAGCACGTTGGGTGTGTATTGTTCAGTGTGAAGTGGCATGCTGAATAGTACACACTGCCCATTTGGTGTCTTGAGGTATTTGAATATCGTCTGAACAATGATGGCGGAGGCTCTCATTCCCTCCTTATCAAGACGCCCTTCATTAATTCTATATGTTCAGAAGCAGATGGTGTTTGAGTTTGTATTTTGCTTTACTTAGACATGTTCTGAAGGAGCTCTGGCAGTGTAGTGGTTACGAATCGGGCTGCGAACCTTAAGGTCAGCGGTTCGAAACTACCAGCTGCTCCGCGGGAGAAAGATGAGGCTTTCTACTCCCGTAAGGATTTACACCCTCGGAAACCCTGTACAGGGTCGCTATGGGTCGGAACCGACTCGACGGCACTTAACAACAACAACAGACATGTTCTGAGGTTGACAGCGTTTGCAAAAACACTGCCTTTTAAGCTCAGGTTGAATTTTAAAAAAACATTAAAAAAATATATATGACAATTTAGACTACCAGCTACATTAAAATAAAAAAGAGAAACAAAGGCATACAATCAGTTCACTTACTGAGGAATCTGGAAAAAGAACAAAGGCAGGTCATTTGAAAGTAAGTCCCCTCCCAGTCACCCCCCACTGCCTCCCCATCCTCACTTTAGTACAGGGGTTTGTTTCCCAGTATTCTTTTAGTATGAGAGTTAAGACCCAGGACCCAAAATGTATAAATAAAGACAGGAAATACCAGTATGATATGGAAGTGGGAAGGATTTAAAGAATTACAAAAAAGTATGTGCTAGGCAGACAAGCAGACCTGAATCTGGAGAGACAATGCATGGGTCTTGAAAGAACTTTTCTTTTTAGCTTAATCAACAACAGTTATATTGAACCATCTGAAGTTGTCAGTTTTGTAGATTAAGGAAAAAAAAAAAAAAGGTTGGTTAGAGGCAATTTCATATGGTTCAAAGTAACACACAAAAAAATTTTCATCTCCAAGTTTCTTTTTGCCTTGGCTTGTTCTCCAAACTTATTACATCTGCCTTTCTTAAGACTTAAGCTGGTGTGTTGGGTAAAGATTTATTCACCCCATAAAGTTTCCTCTCTCTCTAATATGTTGCTTTGGAAAAGGGCAAAAGTCTTTCAGGAACCTGGGATGGTGTCCCTTGGCAGACCCCATCCCGACTATTGTGCCTTTCTTACGAAGCTACAAATCACAGTAGCTTGAAATCAGCCGGCCACCTTCAAGATTGAGTCTTCTGTCTTTCAAATATGTGGACATATTGATCTCTGATTGTGTATGCTTTCCGATGACAGTTGTGTAGGCAGACAATACATATAAAAAATAAAAGATACATTTTTGTAATTCTGATAGCTGGAAGAAACCCAGTTTAGTTCAAGGAATGCAGAATGACTTCAAAAATGAATGGATGCAGGATTATCTCGCCCTTTGGAAGATGTGTTGATTTGCACAGAAAAAGTTACGGTTCAGTACAACCATACGAAGGGATGTGTGAGGATTATTAGATGCATGCAAATTGGAGAGAGAGAGTGGACTTACCACAGCCTGGAACCATCAAGACCAAAAGAAGAAAAGAGTAAAAACTGTATTAAAACCCAGTTGGAAAGCAGTGTGATTCATTTTAACCGGCCTAGCAGCCTGTGCCTTGGATGATGACTTGGAGGAATCATCAGATAAGCAATCTAGATGACATTATCATGGACCATTAAAGTATATGAGCGGTCATGACTTTTTGGTTGGATGGCGGCCTGGATATTTCTAGAGTCAAGCGTTAGTTGTTTAGGCAAGCACACATAGCACTTGCTATTGGGTGCAGGTGGCCCCCTTTCTTGAAAATTTATCTTTCTCCTGCAACCCTTTAAGGCTCACATTCCATTTCTGATGTTTTTTCCTGACACTTTTCTTGCCAATGTCTCACTTAGGTGAAAAATTGTTTATTTCTCTCTCTCTTGCATATTGCCATATTTGTCTCTCTGGCTAATACAAATTATCATTGCAGATAGTTCAGATTCTCCTCCTTAGGCACAGAACAATATCTGCGTTTTTTTTTCCTCTAGACTTTCTCACCAGATCTGTGTTCCTTGCAGGTGGATTAATCAGTAAGCATGGTATGCACAAGCTTTCAGTAAACAAGGTACGCACGGGTTTCACTGTGCTTACCTGTTTATCTGTAATTGACAATTTCACATGGGTTTATGTGATGAGTAACTAAGCCTGTGCCTACCTTGCTTATTGGGTCATTCATCCCTGAAACTACTGATGGCTCTGGATAGTGAGGAAAATCCGAGTCGGAGGAATTTATCTATGGTAACAGGTTGCCCGAGTGATGCATTTTTACCCAGGTTAAGAACAGCTATTTATGACTTCAGAAGTTGGTTTTAAAGCTGCCCTTGGTGATTTAAAAAAAAACCAAAATCACTGTTGTCAAGTCAATTCCAACTCAGAGCAACCCTACAGGATAGAGGAGGAACGTTCCATCGGATTTCTCAGGCTGTAAAGTTTTACGAAAGCAAAAAGCTTCCTATTTCTCCAATGGAACAGCTAGTGAGTTTGAACCACCACCCTTGGGGGTAGCAGTCCAGTACCTATCCTACAGTGCCAACATGCTCCCCCACTGATGATTAGAGGAGAGGAAAAAACAAAGCCGCTTTTCAAAAGCTTTCAGTGGAGTGATGCAGACAGCCAGGCAGCCTCAGAAGACTCCCAGGAGAACCAGAAGCCACGGTGTTTTCATGTGAGAAGGAAAAAGACAAGGGAGAATCGGCGTGCTATTCCAAGTGGGAAAATAAAAGAGTGATTTTTTATCCACAAGAGAAATTGTTTGGAAGAGATCTTCTGAACTGTAAGTGTCCATAGGAGCAAAATGTTGCAGTCATAATTAATATATGGCCTATTAATATATAATAGGTTCACTTTTTGGAATCCTGGTGTGGCGCTGTAGGGTAATTAAGCACTAAGTTGCTAACCACAAGGTCAGTGGTTCAAACCCACCATCTGCTCCTTGGAAACTCTTCCAAGGATTGCTATGAGTCAGAAGTGACTCATAGACAGTATTCTGCCTAGAAAAGGTGGTAGTCCAAAAGTAGAAGAAATGGCATAATTGTATAGGCCAATGCTCTCAGCTTTGAAATGGTAGAGCATCAATTTTTTGATTTCCTAGAAAGCTACTGTCATGGGGAATGGATTTCATTTCTTAAAATATTCTCAGTTGAACCTCATTAAAGTATATGGTGTAAAGCCATAGCTATTTTTAAGGTGTGATGAAAAATAGAACAAGATAGTATCCTCTTACTTGAAGACATTAGGAATCATTGTTCTTAGCTCTACCTGTATTAAGGCTCATAGATTTTTCTGCTTGTTTTCCAAGTTAGTACAGTCCAAGGAATAGATATATAGACTAACATACATAGAGAATACTCACATACGCTCAGACGCACCCAAACCTACACACGCCCCTGTCCAATGGCCCACAAAGAAGAAAATACAGCATCCAACTGCTCAACAGAATTTAGAGACGATGCTGCCACTCGTGAACTTACCTGCCCATAAAACGCCACACGATAGTAGCGACCAAATAGTCGTTTCTCTGAGTTCACCACCTCTGCAACTTTTAGATATGATCGATGGATGTCATAGTAGAGATCTGATAATTTCTGAAACAGATTCAAAGGTTTCGTGAAGATGATTTTGATATTCAAATACTGTGTATCTACTTTAGAAAATCGTGAGTAATTAACCAATTTAGATGTTTTAATTAACTTCCAGGAGTGTGTAAAACCTACTTTGAAATCTCTTTGCTTCTCGAAGACAGCGATGATGGGTTTGTTGACATCAGCAATGAGTTCGTATCTCTCAGACTTCCAAAGGAATTCCACACACATGTACAGCTGTTCCACCAGAATATGCTGCAATTTCCCAAATCAAAATGAGATTTCACACAGTTAACAACTTAACATGGTGGCTGGTAATGAAAAACTGGTTTCAAAACAGCTGCATTGTCAATGGTTTCTTTTAGTGGGATTTCTGTGATCCCTGGGATGTGCAAACAGTTAAGTACCTTGCTATTAACTGAGGGAATGCTGGCTTGAATCCACCCAGAGGTGTTTTGGAAGGAAAGTCTGGCAATCTATTTTTGAAAGATCAAGGCCACTGAACCATTGAGAATTCTATGGTATGCAGTTCGACTCTGATGCACATGGGATTGTCATCAACGGGAGTCAATATGGCAACATTTTTTCCTTCTTGTTCTTTCACTTCTGTCATTTAACTGTTCCCCCCAAACTTGCTAGGAGCTCTGGTGGTGCAGTGGTTAAGTGCTTGAGTACTAATCAGACTATTGATGGTTCAAAACCACCAGCTACCATGGAGGAGAAAACTATGGCAGTCTGCTTCTGTAAAGATGATAGTATTGGAAGCCGTATGAGGCAATGCTACTGTGTCTCACAGGCTCACTGTGATTTGAAATTGACTTGGATGGGAACAGGTTTCAAATGTGCAAATTTAAGTCTCTTAAATGACTTCTCATCTGTTTAATCCTTTCCATGCCCACTGTGAGTAACCTAGGCCAGGTCATTGCTACTTTACCCTCGTGGTTCTGGTCTTCTGACTAGTCTTCTTTCCCTCTCCAATTGGCCTCTGATGCTGCTTTCAGGGTGTTGCTGTTGTTAATTCTGTTGTTGTTAAGTGCCATTGAGTTGGTACCAACTCGTAGCGACCTTATGCACAACAGAATGAAACACTTCCCGATCTTGGGCTAACCTCACAGTTGTTGCCACACTTGAGCCCATTGATGCTGCCACTTTGCCCATCCATCTTACTGGGGTCTTATTCATTTTCTCTGACCCTCCACCTTACCAAACATGATATCCTTCTCTAGTGACTGGTCCCTCCTGACAATATGTCTGAAATATGAGAGACCAAGGTTGGCCATCCAGACCTCCAAGGAGCACTCTGGCTGCACTTCTTCCAAGACAGGTCTATTGGTTCTTTTGGCAGCCCTGGCTCTTTCAGTAGCCTCCTCCTACACCATAACTCAAATGCATCAATTCTTCTATGGTCTTCCTTATTCACTGTCTAGCTTTCACATGCATATGAGGTTACTGAAAATACCATGACTTCGGTCAGGCACACCTTAATCCTCAAGCTGACATCTTTGCTCTTCAACACTTTAAAAAGGTCTTGTGCAGCAGATTTGCCTAATGCAATACGTCATTTGATTATTTTGACTGCTGCTTCCATGAATGTTGTTGGTTGAACCAAGAAGAGTGAAGTCCTTGACAACTTCAATCTTTTCTCTGTTGATAAGAATGTTGTTTATTGGTCCAGTGGTGAGGACTTTTGTTTTCTTTACATTGAGAAATACTGAAGGTTGTCATCTTCGATCTTCATCAGCAAGTATTCTAAGTCCACTTTGCTTTAAGCAAGCAAGGTTGTATCATCTGCATATCACAGGTTGTTAATGAGTCTTCCTCCAATCCTGATGCCATGTTTTTCTTCATAGAGCTCAGCTTCTTGGATTATTTGCTCAGCATACAGGTTGAATAAGTATGGTGAAAGAATACAACCCTGTCGTGCACCTCTCCTAATGTTAAAGCATTCAGTGTTACTGCTGGTAGTTAGGTGTTGTCAAGTCAGCTCTGATTCATAGCGACCCTCTGCACGACAGAATGAAACACTGCCTGGTCCTGTGCCTTTTTCAGCATGACTGTCACTGTGTCAATTCATCTTGTTGGTAGTCTTCCTCTTTCTTGCTGACTCTCCAGCTTACCAAGCATGGTGTCCTTCTCCAAGGACTGGTCCCACTTGACAACATGTCTCAAGTACGAGAGCCGGAGACTCACCATCCTCACTTCTAAGGAGTACTCTGGCTGCATTCTTCCAACACAGATTCGTTTCTTCTTTTGGCAGTCCATGGTACTTTCAATTATTGTTAAGTGCCATCGAATTGGTTTCGATTCAAAGTGTATAGCGTTTCCGAGGAGCAACTGATGGGTTTGAACTGCCGACTTTCTGGTTTGCAGTCCAGTGCTGATCCTACAGCACCACACCAGGAATCTGGTACTTTGAATAGTCTTTACCAATACCACAAGGCAAATGCAACAATTCCTCTCCAGGCTTCCTTACTCATTGCTCAACTTTCACAGACATATTAAGCAAATGAAAATATCATGGCTTGGATCAGGCACACCTTAGTCTTCAAAATGACATCTTTGCTCTTCAACACTTTTAAGAAGTCTTTTGCAACAGATTTGACTAATACATCTTTTGAGTTTTTGACTGCTGCTTCCAATGGCATTGATGGATCCCAGCAAAGTGAAGTCTTTGACAGCTTCAGTCAGAACTCAGGGTAATCTGTCCTAAATCATAAAACTAATCATGAGATCTCTACGGCCTTAAAACTTGAACTCCAATGTCTATGGCCTCCTGTCCAACAACACAACTTGACATTCAAGGAGCTCCACAATCAGGCACCAACTTCCACGTCAATGTCTCTATTTCAGTACATTGCCATTGTCTTTGTGCTTTGATCACATCAGGCTACTCCCTTCTTTGAATGCTCACTCACCTTCATACTTGTCTGTGTTGTTTCTCTACCTCTATGAGCCTTCTTGACTCATTAATAACCTTGCTTGCTGAAAGTGAAGAGGACTTGAAACATTTACTGATGAAGATCAAAAAGTATAGCCTTCGGCATGGATTACATCTCCATGTCAAGAAAACAAAAATCCTCACCACTGGACCCATAAACAACATTCTTATCAATGGAGAAAAGATTGAAGTTGTCAAGGACTCCATTCTTTTTGGATCAACTATCAACATTC